GCCACCACTCCTTTACTTCTCTGCAACTTCCCACAGCATAAGAAGCCCTTAAGCTTATTAGAAAACAGAGACTGCCGAGGAAGACCCTCCATATCATAGCAACCGTCAACAGCAAACAATGCTGCTGCAACAGTTCAGTTTCCTACTTAAAAGTTACTAAAAATTGCAACATATTGATTCTATAAAACTACTGTTACAGCATTATTTTTCACTTTGGTGTCACTGCTGGGTTCATTTCCCATTGTTTAAAGTGCACTCTGCTTGGACCATAATTCCTCGGACACAACAAGACACGCAGAGAGGTACTGGATACCAGGGTGTTCGCAGCACGAGCTACCGTTCAAAAATCTGAAGGTTTCCATCATGCCCTTTCCCTCCACAATTTGAACCTGACTGCAAAGCCTGCGCTAGAACATACCAACACAGGAACAGAAGGGTTCCTCTGGGCTATCAGTTCAGCACCTCACACAAACATTAAGCACTCAAACTAGATCAGTATTATGTGATTTTTCTTTTTCTGCTAACTCCCACTCACCACTAAATACTTTTAATATCTTAAGAGATATTTTAGGTGTATTACAGGAGATGCCACGCCACGGCTACGCGCCACGCCACTGGAAGACAGCAACAGAGACTGCACATCTCATTCCTGTTTTGGTGCCCCAATTCCTTTAGCATTTCAATTTATTAAATGAAGTGCACTCAATTTCCTAGCTTCAGTAACGTTAACTGAAACACTTCATTAACTATTTTCAAAGTCTGCTCTGCATCAGAAAATAGGCAACTCAGGACATATTGCTTGGCTAATTTGCTCTACAGCATTATTTGTCTCATATGCCTGTCCACCCTCCTAGCAAAGGCATTACTTTGAGACCGCCACAGCCTTTCACCTGATTTTTCCTCTTCCTACAAAGACCGGTATTAAAGCATACTAACATGGAATATATTTATTCAATACATATTATTATGGCAACTAGTTCACAATATGTGAGTTTAAAATGGTAAGGGGAAAGATGAGAACTGCAAACATGTTCACTATCACCAAGTCTCGGTGGAGACAGCAGAGTGAATCAAGTGGAATTGAAAAATAAAGAAAACTGCACTGATAACTTAAAGCTTGAAATATCTCAACTAAGTAGATACCTCTTCTTGCTACCTACATACTGTGCCATGGAAGCTAAACATTTGGTTTTCTCTTACAAGCAAATTCTAGTTGTACCAGTCTCAAGAGCTTTTTCATATTATGTACCATTGTTACATTAAAAATACCGGTGCGCTTTCACGATTTAACTCCTTTTTAATAACTTACAGCAATAAATTTCACATCTGACATGTTTCAGCTACATGAGGTGGAATTTCATTCTAAGAAAATTTCAGTAGA